AAGACTTGTGGACTTCAACTCCCAAAATTCCTCCTCTCGCTCTTCATCTTGATGATGTGAGGACAGGTGGGGGGAGGGAGCTGGAACGGGTCCTAATCAGCACTGTAGATTTGTGGAACCTCTTCTATAGAAGAGGTTAGAACTGGCAGGAACCCACTCCTGCTGATCACTCAACATCCCCTTACACAGCACCAACAGTACAAGTTATGAGAAGGATAACACTACATCAATGATAGAATCTGTGTTTATGTGAATGCTGTATATGTTATATTTATAAGCATATCTATGCTAGGTGAACTTACTATCTAAAGTTTTTTATTATATAGATATAAAAGATAGAGGTAGCTAGTAATTGCCTTTAAGAATAGAGCACAAAGCATTACTTTGGATTTTACAAGGCTAGCAAGCAACAAAAGAGCAGTAATTTATGAGCTCAGTGTAAAAGAATAGCATAATTACATTAAAAATTAATGCTAATGAACACTAAAATGGGGAAGGTGGTTATGATGAAAGTTTGTATTCATCTTCTCTGGTTTGAATGATGGCTAGTGGCTTGATTAATGGCTTAATTTCTATCAATTAGTAGGGGGGGGAATCTCCTACGAGACAGGGGTAAATTGAGCATTGAATTACATATCATGCTTTTGTGTGTTGAGAAAAAAACAGCTGAGTATATCTGATATAAGCCACAATGGCAAATGTGATGTGCCCCACTATGTCTGCATTAGCTCTCTTGACAGGCTGGCTGTACGTGGTTATGGGGTGTTTGGAGATGGCTGGCAGACAACATTCACTGTCAAGTTCCTGAGCAATCTGCAGCTTTTCATTCCGTAGAATTTTAATTAGCGTCAATTAGAACTCAACAATGGAAACCTAGCAGCAGTGGCAGAAGTTGTAAATTGATCATAGTGCTATGTAACTTTAGACTCTTTTTTTTGGACAACAAATATCTTGCAATTTTAAAGACTTTATGATTCATAATATGGATTCCTACTAGAGGTTTCCTGAAAGGCAATAGGAGAACAAGAAGGGGATTTATCTTTAGCCAAATACTAAAAGTAGCTTTTTCATGCTCCGGAAGTACCACGTTTCCCATTTTCTTCCACATCACTTTGTGACCTTGAATAAAGTTAACAAATCCATTATTTCCAATAGAAATGCAAAAGTGTGAGTCCTGAGAGAACACAGTCCTTAAAATTGAGAAGTCCTTGCCGTTCTCTAAGCTTGGCTGTTTTTTTCCAGACATTTTATTACCCAAACTGGATAACATCATCAGTGCTACCTAGTTTGGGTAACAAAATATCTGCAAGCAAACATCCAAGAGCAAAGATCTATCATTTCAACCCTGAACATTCTCCTTTAATGGTACTTAAAATCGAAAGAATTGTGAAAATGTGTAATACATGATGTAACTAATACTTCAAATGCTGTGATTGCAAAAATGACAACAACATGATAGAGGATGATGGTGCTCTATATGTACCTGTGTATTCTTGACATTTGAAAGGCTTCAGTATAAAAGCAAATTTATTTGAGATTGCCGCATGTCAAAAATCATTTCCCTTTCTTTGCATGGTAGCTGCTTGTATATTACACAGGATCCAAGTCCACATTCTGCCTAAAATACAGATTTCCTTACCAATAGAATAGAATAAGATCTAAATTATATATTATATAATATCACTCCTGTTGTATCAGTTCTTTCTCTTTATGTGCTTCATCTCCATCATCAGGATCATACACATCTCTTTATATGTTGCACATATTTTAATGCTTAAGGCATTAGCTATTAACATGATTTCATTAATAAACCCTTAATATCAACATATTCTGGTACAGAATTTTGTGTAATAGGAGCTAACTAAGAGTGTGTCATAAAATGCTCATTTCTTAGTTTTGTATTACATATAGAATATTGGGGTTTTTAACATATCCTTATACCTTTTATATTTTAATCATTGTTCAACCTCCCCGACAGTTTGAAATTCATTTAATTGCTTATTCCTGCCAAGTAGCCATTCAAAAGCTGCAAACCATGCCCATTAAACATTGTTATGACTTTTAGGTTTACGAAAACAAATCACATCAAGGCAAGTAAGATGCATTTTTATCCAAAAAACAAGGGCCCTTAATCCCGTAGGATACATCTTTTCATTTAACTGGTTATATAGTGCCATCTGCTGCTTTCAAGAGCTTTCATCTACAGTACAGTAGTGATGACCTACAGATATAAGCCATGTGGTTTGAAAACAGTGATTGAAATTAAAGACTCGGATCAAGGCATTACCAAAGTCATCACAAAATTATGTTGGATCTTTTTTTGTATGTTCATGTTTTCCTATTTTATCTTATTTTTCCTACTTAGAAGCAAGCGCAACTGTAATTCTTCTAGAATAAATGATTTATAAATGGCATCAACACATCAGTCACCAATATAAATAGTTCTATATTTAAAGTCTGCCCAGAGTGAAAGGACTTGCTGTCCAATGAGTTAGTATTGATTTTTTTCTGTATCCTCTTAGCTTTCTGACTCCATTATTTTTGATTTTACTATGAAATATATATCCTTTCTACTGACATCTGACAAACACTATATGGAAGTCATTTTATCTACCAATAATGTGTTTGTCAACAATATTGTAGACTAATGGATGCAACTTCCTTCCAGTCTGTTTTTATGCAGTTAATGTTGTTGAAGTAATTCAGGAAAACATTCTGTGATTCTATTTCCCTTGAGGAACATGTCCCCAGATTATAATTGTCACTTGCATTAGAGCACTACAAATATCTGAGTCATGCCTTTATTTATTTATGGTTTCCTATTTTGAATTTATATTGTAAAATGTTGGTAATATTTGACAGATGCATACGAACTGCATAATTTTTTCCTTCACCTATTGTGATAAGTTCATGGGTATCAGAAAATCAACATGCATGAATATGCTTGAGAAAGAGTACTTGCATATGTATGCTTTATTTTACTATAACTGTGATATGCAAACATACTTAAAAAGAAAGGCCAGCATATGATCTAAAGGACACTTTATTGAACATTGAAGATGATTTTCATGATCTAAGGATTTCTTTTACAGTACATCCAATCTAATGAGGACTCTTTCCCAAACCTTTTCCACTGTTTTACCAAAGACAGTATTTAATGGGTGTACTTTAACAAATACTTAATGACACTAAGTCACTTCTGTTGTGTTTCACATCATTTAATAGCTTAGTGCCAAATATATTTTAGCTTTAGAATATGATAGCATGGGAAGAGGTTTGTTAATATTTCTTCCATTATTTGACAAAGTGCAGCTTTAAACTTTATATTCTGAAAAATTCAAACTACTTCTCAACAAATTAGCATACATTGTTCACTCGAATCAATAATGAAATACCCTAGAAGGATTGAGTTCCTTAGCTCCATATCAACTGAATATATTAAGACGTATTTGGTGTTCTGATACTTTTTAAGAAAAGTGCTTAAGAGATTACTAGATGATGAATTGTAGCATCTTTCTCAACAACACGCCCGTTGGCTACCTACTGACCTTTCCTAATTCACCAACTATTTCTCATCCTTGGGTTCCCCTGTCATCTGAAGGAGCTTTCTCTCATAAAATGAGCTCTTTGGGATTCTCATGTACATGAGAGCACATGCTGTAGATGGAATTCCTATACTGTTTGGTGTAGAATTGGACTTGTTGGCCTAAATTACCCCTTTCAACATTTTGATTCTATGAGTACATTCTAATGCAGCTTGTTGTTGCACTCAATATATTTTATTTGCCCTTATTATTTCATTTCTATCTCTACTGAACATATGTATGTCATATATTCTACCCTGGAATTATTGAAATGTTTCCTAATTACAGAAATATTGGGGAAACTCATTTTAAAAGTTGCATAAGAATATTAAAATAATACACTATATTGCCAAACGTATTCGCTCACCTGCCTTTACTTGCATATGAACTTACTGTAAGTGACATCCCATTCCTAATCCATAGGGTTCAATATGACGTCAGTCCACCTTTTGCAGTTATAATAGCTTCAACTCTTCTGGGAAGGTTTTCCACAAGGTTTAGGAGTGTTTTTATGGGAGTTTTTGACCAGTCTTCCAGAAGCGCATTTGTGAGGTCACACACTGATGTTGGACGAATTTACGTGGCCTACCACTACGTGGCTGAGTTGCTGTCGTTCCCAAACACTTCCACGTTCTTATAATACAGCTGACAGAGGAAATTTCACGACTGGATTTGTTGCACAGGTGGCATCCTATCACAGTTCCATGCTGGAATTCACTGAGCTCCTGAGAGTGACCCATTCTTTCACAAATGTTTGTAAAAACAGTCTGCATGCCTAGGTACTTGATTTTATACACCTGTGGCCATGGAAGTCATTGGAACACCTGATTCTGATTATTTGGATGGGTGAGCGAATACTTTTGGCAATATAGTGTATATATGAATATAGTATTAATATGGACACTTTTAGACACAACAGGTAACAGCCAGTGGCGGGTTGCCAATTGTTTTACTATCAGTTCGGGCACACTCATGCGTGTGCTCATGTGTGCCCTCGACACTTTTGCGCATGCACAGAAGCGTCCCAGTGGGTGGGTGGAGCCTCCTGCCACCACTACTACAGATTTGCCTACTGAACCAGGAACAACCCACCTCTAGTAACAGCAGATCCCCTACTTTGGCTTGGAAGATGGGTTTCCTTCCTCTTACAAACCAATTACTTCTGTTAGGAGGGAAGATGGCATTAAAACTATAATGAAATTTAATTTGGGGGGGGGGGGTCAGCAGGTCATCCTGCATGTGTTTTATGTAAATGGTGTTTTCTTTTTCACTTACAAATAGAATCTCATTGGTAGCACCATTTCTTATGTTCGACTTTTCTGTTTTCTTAGCAGAAGAAATACGTTAGGAATATATTACACAATACTATATTTAAAGTAATGGTGAAAAATATTGACATCGTACCTTTTTCCATAGATCAAGCCAGTCTTGTTGAGCAAGTAAAACGAGTCAAAGAAATTGAAGCAATTGAAAGTGACTCTTTTATTCAACAGACATTCAGATCGAGCAAAGAAGTCAAAAAGGTAACTTTTCAATATTTTTTTCTTTGCATAGGATCCTTGTGAATCCTGTGGTGGAACTATATATTCATGCAACTATCACTGACGTCAACTGTTTATACCAGTATTACTAGTACTGTAGTAATCCTAATCCATGGACAGATTCCACTTATTACATGACACTATATTTAAATGTGAGAAACATACTTTATATTTTGGAATAAAATGTATTTTTCAGACAAACACAAGGTTAATTTTTGTGCAGAAGAGGGGGTCTGATTTTCCTTTTCCAGCTGTGAAATATCCCAGAATTTTTCCCCAGTTCAGAGCTATCTCAAGAGTAGAATTTCATATTAACCAAGTTAAAAGGAAAAAGAAATTCCTACTCTTTTCTTCACACATTATTTAGCACAGTTTTTTCAGATATCATGCAGTCCCTTTCTTTCTCACATCCTTCATTGAATTGTTTGGGTAAAACTCTAGATACATATATACATGCTTGAAGTACTCCTATATATTATTTACTTTTATTTCAATTCTGGCAATCAACGGGATGACAGATATCATAGCCAGATCCCCTTCACATCCACTGAACATCTTCAACTGTTAGTCAATTATATTAAAAAAAAACAATATAAAGCCTTCCTGAGAGACAAAAACATCAAAGTCACAAAAGAGAAATGGCAACTGATGATTCAGCAGGTTAATTTTTTGAAAGTTCAGCAGGTCTGCTACAAAGCAGAGGTATTCTCAAATGATTCATAGCAGAATTAGTTTGCCTGTAAATATTGTTTTGTGAATACATTTAGGTCACAGAATCTGCTGATATCAAAAGTGAACTGGGAATTACAGAAGTGATAAACGTTGGTGTCGCAGTCACTGAAAAAGAAGTAAAGTCTGGAATTATTCCTACTACTATCAAATACCAAGATGAAAACTCACTTGCCCATCCCAATGTAAGTTTGCTGATTATGGCAGTCTTTGATTAAACTAATTTATAAGGAGTGTAGGAGATGAGGTTATGTAATCTGTGTATCCATATGTGTATTTGTTTTCTTTTTAAAAAAAATACTCAAGAACTTCCATAAAATCCTGACTAAATTCATAGCATGAGCAATACTATGAAGTTCAACTGCTATGTTCAGATATAAAGAAGATTAATTTTCAAAACTTTTTTTTACTTTTTATTTTCAGATTAAATAACAGTATAGTCATTTAGATAAAACACATTTAAATTCTGTCTGGACACTGTAGGTAGACTCAAACATAGCTGCAAAATCAGCAATGCTAAAACAGCAATAGCAATAGCAGTAGACTTATATACCGCTTCATAGGCCTTTCAGGCCTCTCTAAGCGGTTTACAGAGAGTCAGCATATTGCCCCCAACAATCTGGGTCCTCATTTTACCCACCTCGGAAGGATGGAAGGCTGAGTCAACCCTGAGCCGGTGAGATTTGAACCGCTGACCTGCTGATCTAGCAGTAGCCTGCAGTGCTGCATTTAACCACTGCGCCACCTTGGCTCTTAACAGTGATTTCAGACATTGCAATTTTAATATAATACTGACTATGAATGTTGACTGTATCTCCAGACTCAGTTTATAGAAGCTTAAACCTTGAAAGCTTTAAGTGATCTAAGATCAGATTCTTCTGGATTTATCTTACCCCATATGAATGTGCTGAAATTTGAAATTGATTACCATATTTTTCAGAGTACAAGACGCACCTTTTTTCCTCAAAAAAGAGGCTGAAAATCTGGGTGCATCTTATACATCGAATACAGTATTTTTTGCCTCCTGAAGCCCCGCCGTGTATACCCTTATGGAGGCTTTCAAAGTACTCCTGGGGGCTGGGGAGGGCAGAAATGAGCAAAAAATGGGCTGTTTTTGCTCCCCCCTAGCAGCACTCCATAAGGGTATGCATGCAATTTTTTTGACAAAAAGCGGGCCCATTTTCACGAAAAATGGGCTGTTTTTTTGCCCCGCCCCCCAGGAGCACTCTGCAAGCCCCCTCCCCAAGGCTATTCATGCCTTTTATTTGAAAAAAACAGGCTGTTTTTCGGAGGTTTGCAGAGTGCAAAAACTTTTTTTTCCTTTTGGAAAGCTCTTTAACTGATGAGAATTACATTGATCAAGTGCTGTGCCAGCAGAAACAAAGTCTTAAGGTTTGTCAGTGATTTCCTTCTCCAGCACATGGATAAATACACCTGGAAACATCTACCTACCTATCTACTCTCTCTCTCCCTCCCTCCCTACTGTATTTCTCTCTCTCTCTGTCCCTCTATCTACCTACCTACCTACTCTCTCTCTCCCTCCCTACCTACTGTATTTCCCTATCTCTCTATATTTCTCTCTCTCTCTCTCTCTCTCTCCCTATTTCTTTCTCTCTCTATCCCTTTTCCTACATACCTACCTAGTTACCTACTCACTCTCTCTACCTATCTACTTACCTACCTACCTACCTACTGTCTTCCAGGACTGCCTATTTCCAATATTTTCTGTCAATTCCATCAGATCTGCCATAGTAGGCTTGCCCCAGGTCTCTTAACACATGCATCCCACATGAATGAACAAGATGAAACAGTGTCATATAGTTGACCACACACGGATGGATGCCTATTGCCTTCCCTATTGTGGTTCCTGTCCACAATAACAGCAACACTCCCTTCACCTGACAAGTCCTGGCCTGGTTGGCTTTCTAAAAGGCATTGAAGACCTCATCCTTCTGTTCTGTGTTATGATACAGTTTTGCAAGGAATTACCTTTTTTCAATTCTCTGTTGCCTTATGACTTTTACATTGTGTTATTTATCCATGTGTTATTTTATCCAGACTTGCTGGATAAAATTTATTTATAAAGTTAATAAATAAATTCTATGTCATTGCTCTTTCTACTCTGGAAAGCAGACAAGTAACTATTTCTAAGACCAAAAAAGCCCTATTATTGATTTAATTTGAATTTAATTGAAAAAAGAAGATATGGTTTGTTTTTATATATATAATATTTGTCCATCAGTCTCATTGCCTTATTTTAATGGTACTTTAGGAGATCCTTTGGAAGTTCAGGGATTGAAGTTGTGGATCACCAATTAGATGAAACAGTTGTTTTACAATTGATCAATGATCAAAACTTTGTTTAGGATAACAGGATCCAGTATGGCCTTATTGCATACTGATTCCCAGTAAGATCATTTCTCTTTAACTTAAAAGTCACTGTTCCTGGCATGACATAATAGAGATATATGTAATTCATATAGAAAACTTTTTATTAAGGCACATGAAGGTCTCTAAGATTTTTAACAATGTACCTGTTCTCCTGAATAATTTCTGTGCTTAAAGTTCAGCTTTGTAGTCATCATTTGCTTGTTATAGCATTTATCTATACTCAATATCCCATAATGACAAAGTGAAAACAGAATTTTAGAAATGACTGTAAATTTATTGAAAAGAAAAATGTCAAAAGTGAAGATAGTCTGAATACTTTCTGAATGCACTGTATATTCTAGTACTGATTTCTGGCATTAAAAATAGGCCTTGACCTATAGTCTGATTCAGAAAACACCAGAAATCAATAGAAATTAAAATCACTTAAGTTTGTAATTGCACTACAATGCATCATACATTCCTTGCTAATAGTGCATTATAGGAATGAATTTAAAAGATGATTTCAGATATTCACAAATCTTAATGTCCTTTGTTGTTGTTAGTTGCGAAGTCGAGTCCGACCCATCGTGACCCCATGAACAACGTTCCTTCAGGCCTTCCTGTCCTCTATCATCCTCTAGAATCCATTTAAGCTCACGCCTACCACTTCAGTGACTCCATCCAGCCACCTCATTCTCTGTCATCCCCTTCTTCTTTTGCCCTCAATATTTCCCAGCATTAGGCTCTTCTCCAGGGAGTCCTTCCTTCTCATTAGGTTGCCAAAGNTGGCCCTGAGGGCCAGATCTAATCACCCTGTGGGCCAGATCTGGTCCACGGGCCTTGAGTTTGACACTCCTGCTATAACTATAAACTACAGTTCATGTGGTGCAAGCCGTAATATTGTGTCCAGTGTGACTGCTAGGAAATGATGCCATTTCCATACCACTGCATCAATACCTAAATGCATTTCTTGTTGGGTTCAAACTATGTTAGCTGCATCATCTTGTGTCCCCTTCACCTTTCCTTCACAGATGGCTTTTGTTTTAGATCTGAACAAAAAAAAGTTTACTTGTGCTCATCTCCCTTCTTTGAGCCAATACCATACTGATTTTTAAATGTATTGATCAGTAAGAGAGGTGACATTGACAGATATATGCAGGAACAGTTATCTAGGCAAAAGAGGGTGAGATACTTTAAAGTCTGAACAATGAGATAAGATTCAGAAGTGACTGAGGTAGATGTCTCCCTATTTTTGCTCTCAATGGTGAGATGGATAGTGAATAATTTTAATAAACCAAACAAATAAATAATTCACTGATGTATAGGAAGGAGGATGAGGTATAGCACAGTCACATTTGCAACATTCTATTCTAGCCAAACTTACTAAAGGTAGTTTTAGTCTTCCTATGGAGTTAATTATTTAGTCTGTTTTACTTTAATAGCTACCCAGTTCCAAAATGACTCAGGGAGGCTTTATAAGATCAAAAGATACAATCATGTTATATGTAAAAAGAACATACACTCTTATACAAGAACACAGAAATTATGTAAAAGAACAACGTAATATATTTCCATACCCCATATCTCTCAACTAAAATAGACCTGCATGAAACATTTGGATCCAGGACCTGAGGAAAAATCAGGTTTTAGAGATTGCTTGAAGGCATAAGAAAAAGAAGAAATAAATTTATTTCTAAATCTATCTATCTATCTATCTATCTATCTATCTATCTATCTATCTATCTATCTATCTATCATCTATCATCTAATTTATATAGCTGTCCATCTCACAAAATGTGTCTTTGGGCAGAGTACAACAAAGTTAAAAAAAACACTAATGCACAAACAATGGCAATTATTATTACTATTAAAATATTAAAAACTGTAAAACACAACTAAAATAGATGAATAATGGAGATGTCAATAAGAATAGAACCACTTCATTAATTCTCCAGTTCTCTAGGATCCGCAGATCCTATCTCTTGAAGGATCTTCCACATTCTTAGAAAACTTGTATGATTTGATATTTTTGAATTTTTACCTGAATAATTTTGTTCCTGATAATCTCCTTTGATGTACTCTATACAATTACATTATTGTGTTAGATATCCTTGAAATTGAAGTTGATTGATAGTTACAGGATTTTTTTAAAAAAACTAAGTATTCCCAATAGATTTGGAACCTCCAAAGTTGGAAAAATTATCTATATTTAGATTTTACGAACGCAGGTTAAAATTTTGAATGAGAAAAGTTCATAGCATTTTCGTTTTGTCAGTGCTTTTAAATTCCTGGTACTGGGAATATAAAAATTAAAGAGACCTACAGCTTTCAGCTATAAAAATATATTGGATGGTTTTATTGTATTTCTAAGGACAAACTATTTGACAAAATATATTTTAATTCAAATAAACCTACTTTGTGAAAAATGCCTGAAGGCCAAATATTTCGCATGATTTGGAAAGGGAGATTATGTTTGTTTATTACAAAATTAAATGCCTCGCTGAGGGTTCTGTACCCATTTCTTTTCTATAAATTACTTTTTCTTCTGCTTAAAGTAATTTTTTTCTTTTAATAGTGTTCCAACACAGATAGTTAGTGTAAGTGGTTTTAACTGTCTTTGCCTGTATATTCTTTTTAGACTTTCTAAAATCATATCAGATACCAGTACAATTAGCACAGGAGCCTGACAGGGCTGTATGCTCTCTCCCCTTCTCTTCTCTCTCTATACCAATGACTGCATCTCAAACAATCCATCTGTTAAACTACTGAAGTTTGCAGATGATACAACAGTGATTGGTCTAATTNCAGCCCCCGA